CAGTAAGTCTACATACTAACAACGTTAAAAAACAGGGGTTCGATTCCCTGTGGTAGACACAGCAGATAGCCCAATAGGGCTTTGCTCAAGAACAAACAAGCAAACTATGTCAACTAATGGTAGTTTAAGTTGTTAAGAAAGTGACTTATTAGCAAGTGCTAATGGGGTAATTTTCTATCTTAGGTGATTGAGTACTAGCCTAGTGTGCAAGAAGTAATAAAAAGTGAAATTACAACAACAGTACCCTGGTTTCTAACAAGTTCGTGATTTACATGAGTACTTTGAACTGTAGTTTCTATCTAGAATAGCATTTGGCTAATTCCTGCTGTTTTAATTATAACGACACTTAATTAGTGCCTGTATACCAAGCACTACCTAATTTAAAGTAGTTCTGTAAATTTGATTAGTTTAATCTTGTTTCATTCATTTAAGTAGTGACCCCTATATTAATATTTGTTTCAAAATACGACTAAAAATCTTAAATAACTTAACACTTTATGTATATCCACAAAAATATCTTTTGTTTGTTTTGAGTAAAGAAAAATCGTAGCATTTTAACTTTATCACATATAATCGCTATGAACAACGACATACGCATGAAAATAATATTTTACAGCTTCCAAACCTGTGGACTCTATCACTTGGTCCTGCTGACATCGCAGCTGCCCCAACACATTTTGTCCAGTGAGTGATTTGATAAAAGTTCCTTAAGCTATCCTCCAGAACTATAATTGGGTAGTGTGAATCAGTGGCTTCGTGCTTTGAACTCATAGTTGGATGATAGCGAATATGAGGCTTGCTTGTGACATGCTGTTATGTCCTCGAGCAAAATACTTTATCTCGATTGTTACAGTCAACCCAGCTGTATGATGGGTAGCAAATGTTAACCTGATGGACTGGTATCTCGTCCAGGGAGAATACTGTTACGACAGCGGAAGTCACGTGACGCTAGTAACACGTCATTAACTTCTAGAAGGATCTTGTCCCTTCCTGAGTGCTCTAGATTTCGGTATTCTTTCATATGTAAGACGGTCAAAACGTGACGGCAACAATGTAATGGGTAATTGAACTGCGGACAGAGAGACGTATTGTTGAGTCGAGCACGTCAGATGTTCGTTGTGAATTATAGCGTTTGTTATAGCGCGACTGTGGAAATTAAGTGTATTACAAAGTTGTATTCAGAA